TTATTTTCCCAGAAAAAAATGCATTCATCGCTGGTGTATAGCCTTAGAATCCTATATATTCCGTTAAAAGTGGGAAATTTCACCATGAAAATTTCAAGTAAAAAAGAGGCAAATCGGCATACTAACATATGCCATTTTTGGCCAAAATTCGCCAAATTTTTACAGCTCTATTTTTCAACAAAAAGTACATTCCTCGGTTGTGTTTAGCCTTTGAAACCTATAAATTCCGTTAAAAGTGGGAAATTTCACCATGTCGGGGAGACAGACCTGGTTTTCACCTGAGGATGGCTGCTTGCGTTGTGGCCGAAACGTCGTGAGAATTTTTTTTAATTTTTTTAATTATATTATTACTTCCCTTCTACGTGACTTTACCGAAAAAACCAAGAAGATGAATCCCTGCAGTCACGAAAGCTTTAAATCGAAAAAAAAATACAGCCAATTGATTTTGGAATTAAACCTTTGTTGGAAAAATTAATTAAATAAAAGTTTCCGACATGGAGATGCCGGGGATTGAACCCATGGCCTCACACATGCAAAGCGTGCGCTCTCCCACTGAGCTACATCCCCACCACGCTGGCAGCCAGGTAGCCAGCCTCCTTAGCTATCGGTCCCTCTCCTTACCCCCCCTCCCTCAGGCCCCTCCGCTGACCCCCCCTCCTTTGGGCCCCTCCCCTGACCCCCTCCCCCCCATATCCTTAGGCCCCTCCCCTGAACCCCCCTCCCTTAGGCCCCTCCTCTACCCCCCCCCCCTCAGGCCCCTCTCCTGACTCCCACCTTCCTTAGGCCCCTCCCCTGACCATCCTTCCTTAGCCACCTCCCCTCTCCGTACCCGGCAGTAGGTCTCCACCAATCAAAGAGCTGTTAATATTATATATTTATTTATGCACGACAGACAGACATAAAATCCCTGGTGGGCAGTGTGGAACATATTGTTCCTACCTGTAAAATGCATTCCTCGGTTGTGTTTAGCCTTAGAATCTGATATATTACATTAACAGTGCGCAATTAAATCAAGAAATTTTGAAGTAAAAAAAAGCAAATCGGCATAGTAACCTATGCCGTTTTTGGCCAAAATTGTTCACATTTTTACGGGTTAACAAAAAAAAGAAAAATGCATTAATCGGTGATGTTTAGTCTTAGAATCTTATATATTACATTTGTAGAGGTGATCGCCACTCAGCATTCAGTAGCCTGCAGTACCACTGAGTGTCAACGGGGTGCAGCAGTGTTACCTCCGTGGGGAAATGCCCGGGGTCAAACAGAGGTGAGAGCGGATGAAACCACCAATTCCTGCTCGGGGATATTCCCGAGGTCAGAGAAGGTGAAAGCGGATCAGAACGACGGTTTGAGAAGGACCAATCAGAAGGTTCGGGAAGGACCAATCAGAAGGATCCACGAAGGGGCGTGGCTGGGACGGAGCCAGCCACGAACCTGTATAAAAGCCAGAGCGCTGAGAGCTCGAGTTAGTTCTCTCCACACGAAGACCGAAGTCCGGGCTGAAGATAGATAGGACCCTGGAATCAAGCCTTGCAGCTCTTCTAAGGGCTGAGGCTCAGTGTGACCAGTGGTCGGGACCCACAGACCCAGTGGTCGGGTCAGTTAGCCTCCCCTAAGTCCCAGCCGGAGGACATTAGGATAGCGGGTAACTCATGAGTAGGTCCCACCAAGTCCGGAGGCCATTCCTCCCAAGGTATCGGGTATAGGGACCGTATACCCCTTGTGTGTGTTAGGGACCGTGTCGGAAGAAAGACAATAAACGGTGTGCCTCATAAAGAAGTTTATTGGTCTGTAATTACAACACTACACATTTAAAGTGGGAAATTTCACGATGGAATTTTCACGTCCCGAAAAGCAAACAGGCATACTAACCTATGCCATTTTTGGCCAAAATTGGCCAAATTTTCACGGCTTTATTTTCCCAGAAAAAACGCATTCATCGGTGGTGTATAGCCTTAGAATCCTATATATTCCGTTAAAAGTGGGAAATTTCACCATGAAATTTTCAAGTAAAAAATAAGCAAATGGGCATACTAACCTATGCCATTTTTGCCCAAAATTGGCCCAATTTTCACAGCTTTATTTTTCAACAAAAAGTGCATTCCTTGGTGGTGTTTAGTCTTAGAATCCTATATATTCCGTTAAAAGTGTGCAATTTCACCATGAAAATTTAAAGAAAAAAAGAAGCGAATGGGCATACTAACCTATGCTATTTTTGCCCAAAATTGGCCCAATTTTCACAGCTTTATTTTTCAACAAAAAGTGCATTCCTCGGTGGTGTTTAGTCTTAGAATCCTATATATTCCGTTAAAAGTGTGCAATTTCACCAGGAAAATTTAAAGTAAAAAAGAGGCGAATGGGCATACTAACCTATTCAATTTTTGCCCAAGATTGGCCCAATTTTCACAGCTTTATTTTTCAACAAAAAGTGCATTCCTCGGTGGTGTTTAGTCTTAGAATCCTATATATTCCGTTAAAAGTGTGCAATTTCACCATGAAAATTTAAAGAAAAAAAGAAGCGAATGGGCATACTAACCTATGCTATTTTTGCCCAAAATTGGCCCAATTTTCACAGCTTTATTTTTCAACAAAAAGTGCATTCCTCGGTGGTGTTTAGTCTTAGAATCCTATATATTCCGTTAAAAGTGTGCAATTTCACCAGGAAAATTTAAAGTAAAAAAGAAGCGAATGGGCATACTAACCTATTCAATTTTTGCCCAAGATTGGCCCAATTTTCACAGCTTTATTTTTCAACAAAAAGTGCATTCCTCGGTGGTGTTTAGTCTTAGAATCCTATATATTCCGTTAAAAGTGTGCAATTTCACCATGAAAATTTAAAGTAAAAAAGAAGCGAATGGGCATACTAACCTATGCCATTTTTGCTCAAAATTGGCCCAATTTTCACAGCTTTATTTTTCAACAAAACGTGCTTTCCTCGGTTCTTTTAGCATTATATTCCTATAAATTAAATTAAAAGGGGGAAATTTCACCGTGAAATTTTCAAATCCTAAAAAGCAAATTTGCATACAAACCTATGCCATTTTTGGCCAAAATTGTCCAAATTTTCACAGCTTTATTTTTCAACAAAAAGCGCATTCCTCGGTTGTGTTTATCTTTAGAATACTCTTATATAAGCACGCAACTTTATCTATCAGTGATGAATGCTGCACTTTCCGTCGTTTTCATGCAGGCGGCGCTGCAAACATACATGCCCCCTGCATGAACGACGGAGGCGCAGGGACAGACGTTCGATCACGTTGAAATCGATCTGCAGACGGCGGTCTTCTCACACGGCCAGCTCCGTGTCGCCTTATCTCGATCCTGCAATCCCAAACAGGCGAAAGTCCACATCGAACTGAACCCCCAGCAAGGCCATTGACTTAACGACGAGAGAAAATTCACACGAAATGTCCTTTTCAATGAGGTCTTCCAGATGTAAAATGATATAAGCTTTTAATGAAGAAAAAAAATAATCTAATTCTAAATATAATACAATTCAAAAATGTTTCATTTTAAAACTTCAAAACAGAGCATCGGGTGCTTGCGGGAATGCGTCGTTCGTGTGCAATTTGTTTCGTGACTTTCCTGGCCGAAGACCGTAAATGGTTGTGAGCGGTGCAACAGGCACCACCGAACAACCCTTAGTGCTAGATATTCCGTTAAAATTGGGAAATTTCACCATTAAAATTTCAGGTAAAAAAGAACCAAATCGGCATATATAACCTGCTAGCGGGAAGTATGTGGCGTTGCCCGGGGGAAAAATATATTTAAAAACTTCTCTAAAAAACACAACATATACATACACAATTACTATGCTATTGTGAAAACCCGGCGTGCCGTTTGTCTGTCCATTTGTCCGCCAACAAAATTATGAGAGGCTTGCAGAAGTCCAAAAAGTTATAGAAAGTGGTGGGTAAATAGTTTATCTAAAAGGTTTTCGAAATTGTCGACCCCCCCCCCCCTAATTTTTTTTTTTATCATAGTGACGGGGCGCTCAGCACTGACATCGCCGGGAAGGAACGGCCAGGAATCTGGAGTTGACGTCCTGGTGGGAACGTTTGCAAGCACGACGGCCGCCATTACACGTGGCGAGGAAGATGCGCAGCCGGACGCCGCCATTTTGGGCGTCACGGGGGAGGCGTGGACGGAGTCCGCCATTTTACGAAACAAGCGTGATAGGCAAGACGCGGCACCCGCCGCTAGGAACGTGGAAAATAGAACCGAACGTACTCGCAGATTACCTCAGATTAAATCATTCGGCCGAGCTCGGGAACATAGTGGAGGAAATTGGTGAGTCGGGTGATCGCGGCGTCTGCAGGCTTCTCGGTGGTATCTCGCTCTATTCAAGGTGTTGAGGTCCGTGTCTTGGTGGACACGGGAGCCCCGTCAGATATATCACCAAAACGACATTTGATCATCTTAGAAACATTGCTAAGGTACAGCCTTTTCGCTCTCGGTTTACTACCGAGAGACTTGACTACTGCAATGCTCTTTTCCGGTTTTCCGAAAAAGTCATTTTGCAACCTACAACGTGTGCAGAATGCAGCAGTGCTTATGAAAACCAGAAAGAGCACCCACCACGTAACACCTGATTTACGGACCTTGCACTGAATGTCAATCAGTTATAGAATTAATTTTATAAATGAATTTGAATTGGTTTTTAAATCGTTGAATGGTTTGTCACCAGCATACACGATATGAACCAACCAGATCCCTCACGTCCTCTGGTTCTGGTCACAATAATCCCCTGTGGGCTGGTGGAACCAGGTGGATCCTCCCAGTATCATCATCGTCATCATCATCACGTGGACATTGAGAGCAGCAGACACAGACTCGAGACGTGTGGTGACGTCGATTCTGAATGTGGAGGGGGAAAATCTGAGGACCTCGATAAGAATCCACGTGACCACGGGAAGAGTAAAAGTGGCACCAGGCGAAGTGATTACATCGGTGACGTCGTGTAGTCCCCAACCCACCCGTTGGACGAAAGAACATCAGAGTCATCTCACTTCCTTCTGCGAGTTACTCTCTCTGGGCAACCTCGCTGGCCTCGTCGTCTAACACGGAGAGAGAGAGACGCGGGGTGGTGAAGCATCCATCGGGCTGTCAGAATGAGACGGGGCAGGTAGCAGTCACTACCCACTGTGCATTGACACACACGCAGAGCCGACAACCCCACACACACTCACACACGCACACACACACGCACACGCAGAGGCGATAACCCCACACACACTCACACACACGCACACACTCACACGCACACGCAGAGGCGACAACCCCACACACACTCACACACACGCACACACACACGCAGAGGCGACAACCACACACACACAGTGCCACTGAACGCGTGCATCGAATCATCATCGTTCACCCCATGGAGCCGTGACTTGGGCTAACAACGGTGAGGATTTAACTCTGTGAGAGTGTGCGAGTAAGTGTGTGAGAGTGTGTGAGTGTGTAAGTGTGTGAGAGTGTGTGTGAGAGTGTGTGAGTGTATAGGTATGTGAGTGTGTGTAAGAGTGTGTGTGTGAGTGTGTGGGGTTGTCACCTCTGAGTGTGTGTGTGAGTGTGTGTGAGTGTGTAAGTGTGAGAGTGTGTGAGTGTGTGTGTGAGTGTCTAAGTGTGAGAGTGTGTGAGTGTGAAGGTATGTGAGTGTGGGAATGTGTGATTGTGTGAGAGTGTGTGAGTGTGTGGGGTTGTCGCCTCTGAGTGTGTGTGAGTGTGTGTATGAGTGTGTAAGTGTGAGTGTGTGAGTGTGTGTGTAAGTGTGTGAGTGTGTGTAAGTGTGAGTGTGAATGAGTGTGTAAGTGCACCTAGCCTGGCACAGGCGCCGTGGTAACGTCACCGTCACGTCGTGGCGAATGGCGGGTCTTGTTATGTTGAATTTCTTTCGCACCGTACGTAGTCAACCGTGGATGATCGGAGGTGCGGGTTAAGGACAACAATCTAAGCAGAACAACAACAACAACAGCACTCAGTCCTAAACAAATGAGTGCTCAATCGAGATGATTTAAAAGTGGCTTCCTAATATCGCGAGGAAGAGCGTTCCAGACGGCCGCTGTAGCGCATTTCAAAGCGTGCGAGACGGTGTTTGTGTGTAGGTCGACTCAGCCTCAAATGAGTGCTCGGTGCGGTGTGTAGTAAACATCGCCACTGGGGAGACAAAGGCGGCCGGGCGTGGGGCTGGCCACCCACCCCTCACTACTGGCCTACAGCACTTGCCCCAACAGTCTGTAAGAGGCTATACGGGGGATCTTTATTTTGGTATTTCACGCGCATACCTCTAAGGTGAGTTGGAGACACCGACAGGTAGGTGAGAGGCATGCGGGCAATGCTACCGTGGCCTTCACCAGTTGAGGAACCGGTCGGATGGTTACCGGTCTAACCGGGATATTTAATCCCAATTTAACTTCCTCACTCCGACATTCAGACCCCCCCATTGAGATGTATTGCCTCCTGTTATTGAGGTCCTTTATTTAACCATCAGCTGAGAGAGTTCCCGTTGAGAGTAATTGTCTCGTGTTGATGAGTCTTGCAGTATGGTGAGGTGGGGAGATGTGACCCTGCGAAACGAAGGCATGTATATCTATAAAAGGGAAAATTGTGAATGTGTGTCTGTTCGAAATGTTTAGCATACTTCCCGACATGCAAAAAACTTGAAATGTGGCATATGGGTAGTTTCTAAATTGTACACCATGCCAAAAGTATAAAAATAGACTTTTGTAATGTTTTTTTATGTGGGGGGGGGGGGGGCGCAATAATGCATATATTTTGCACGGCAAGTGAGCGGTGACGTCACATCTCTGTCATGTCACCCGCATGCGGCAGGGTCACGCAGTGTGCCTGCTGACGTCACGCACCCCCCCCCCCCTCCGCGTAGGCCGCGTATTACTGGTAGGAACCTCCTGGCTACACCAGCCCACAGGGGATTATTGTGTCCGTCCGTCGTGCAGGGAGGGGCTGGGTGGGGGGGAGGGGCTGGGTGGGGCTGGGTGGGGCTGGGTGGGGGGGTGGGGCTGGGTGGGAGGGGTGGGCTGGGTGGGGAGGGGCTGGTCACCCCGTGGTGCCCTTATAAAACTCAACGTTTAACCTACTCACGCCGGCTTGTGCCCACCCTCACAGTCGGGCATATTTGCGGAATACACCACGCCGCCGTTGACCCTGCAGGCCATTGACCGAGCAACCCGACGTTCCTACCAGCTCCCTCCGCAGGAATGTGTTAATCAAAGACACGAATCCGAAGCCCGGTAGTAAAGCTCGTTAATTTATATATCGTTTGTAACGTGTTCATTTTACAGAATTCCTGTCCTCCACTCGTAAAGGAATGGCCCCGACTTCTCCACTTGAAACAACAACAACAACAATATTAATACTATTATTATTCATTGGTAAGTAGCACCATCACCACCACCACCACGTGTAGCCTGTAACAGACTGTTGGGGCAAGCGCTGAGCGAGGCTGAGGGTGGAGTGACTGGAGCAGGGGTTACGTGGGGGGGTCACGTGGGGGCCAGAAGTGGAGTGTTGAGACGGGAGAAGTGGAGGGGGGTGGGCGATGGAGGCTCTCAGAGAGGAATGGAAGGAGGCTAAGGAGGGGGACTGCTTCATGTACAGGGGCACTGCTGAGTCTATGGACAGCAGTGTTGAGTCTATGGGTGGCAGTGTTGAGTCTATGGGTAGCAGTGTTGAGTCTATGGGTGACAGTTTTGAGTCTATGGGTAGCAGTGTTGGTCTATGGACAGCAGTGTTGAGTCTGTGGGTAGCAGTGTTGAGTCTATGGGGTAGCAGTGTTGAGTCTGTGGGTAGCAGAGTTGAGTCTATGGACGGCAGTGTTGAGTCTATAGGGTAGCAGTGTTGAGTCTATGGGTAGCAGTGTTGAGTCTGTGGGTAGCAGTGTTGAGTCTATGGGTAGCAGTGTTGAGTCTGTGGGTAGCAGAGTTGAGTCTATGGACGGCAGTGTTGAGTCTATGGGGTAGCAGTGTTGAGTCTATGGGTAGCAGTGTTGAGTCTGTGGGTAGCAGTGTTGAGTCTATGGGTAGCAGAGTTGAATCTGTGGGTAGCAGTGTTGAGTCTATGGGGTAGCAGTGTTGAGTCTATGGGTAGCAGTGTTGACTCTATGGACGGCAGTGTTGAGTCTATGGGCGGCAGTGTTGAGTCTATGGGCGGCAGTGTTGAGTCTATGGGTAGCAGTGTTGAGTCTATGGGGTAGCAGTGTTGAGTCTATGGGTAGTAGAGTTGAGTCTATGGGCGGCAGTGTTGAGTCTATGGGCGGCAGTGTTGAGTCTATGGGTAGCAGTGTTGAGTCTATGGGCAGCAGTGTTGAGTCTATGGGTAGCAGTGCTGAGTCTATGGGTAGCAGTGTTGAGTCTATGGGTGGCAGTGTTGAGTCTATGGGTAGTAGTGTTGAGTCTATGGGTAGCAGTGTTGAGTCTATGGGCAGCAGTGCTGAGTCTATGGGCAGCAGTGTTGAGTCTATGGGCAGCAGTGCTGAGTCTATGGGCAGCAGTGTTGAATCTATGGGGGTGGGTGGCCAGCACCACACCTGCCCGGCCGCCTTTGTCTCCCCACTGGTGATGTTTACTACTCCACTGCAAGAGGTTATTCTTTTGAGGCCGAGTCGATCTAGGAGAGGCCCAGGACGTGTTCAGATAGTTGCGGCGATCACCGGTTTTGGTGGCCGTGAGCGGGAATCGAACTTGGGTCTCAGCCGGGTTCATATCTGCAGCGCCTACAATTGCGCCACAACTCCACGCCACGCACACTGTGGTACTCGGATATCAGTCGACACGGTACATTGCGATGTCATATTTCACGATATCGTCACGATTGGTTTCCCGTGAAGATGTTCTGCTGGCGTTTCACATTTCACGCTTTCCTTTCAGCGCTTTGCTGATCTCCCAGACTGAATGTTTATAGTGTTCACTGGATACTAGTTCACTCGATGCTACTTCCCCCGACGATAGTTCACTCGACACTAGTTCACTCAACGCGAGTTCACTCTATGATGGTTCACTCGACGGTAAGAGAGTTGAAGGGCAATTAAGGGAGTTGAGTGGCAATCATAAAAGGGATGAAAAGGCAGCAACAAGTGAGTAAAGCCCGGAGAGAAAGAGGCAGCGGTTGGGTTGTGAGAGCTCTACACGATCTCTCCCTCTCTCTCTCTCTCTGTCTGATCTCGCTCTGATCTTTTTGCCTTCGAGATCGTGACTCTGATCTTCTTGCTTTCGAGATCGTGACTCTGATCTTCTTGCCTTAGAGACCCTGGCTCTGATCTTCTTACCTTAGAGAGGCTGGCTCTGATCTTCTTGCCTTAGAGATCCTGGCTCTGATCTTCTTACCTTAGAGACCCTGGCTCTGATCTTACCTTAGAGAGGCTGGCTCTGATCTTCTTACCTTAGAGACCCTGGCTCTGATCTTACCTTAGAGAGGCTGGCTCTGATCTTCTTACCTTAGAGACCCTGGCTCTGATCTTCTTACCTTAGAGACCCTGGCTCTGATCTTCTTACCTTAGAGACCCTGGCTCTGATCTTCTTACCTTAGAGACCCTGCCTCTGATCTTCTTACCTTAGAGACCCTGGCTCTGATCTTCTTACCTTAGAGACCCTGGCTCTGATCTTATTACCTTAGAGACCCTGGCTCTGATCTTCTTACCTTAGAGACCCTGGCTCTGATCTTCTTGCCTTAGAGACCCTGGCTCTGATCTTCTTGCCATCGAGAAATAAAATAAAAACGAGGCAAGGGCAGTGCGAGAGCTGAGGGTGGAGTGACTGTAAATGTCGTGGCTTGGCTCTCCAACACACCCGCGTGCTGTACCAGTGACGAATTGTCACGTTCTGTTGACGTGACAACCCTTACAAGCTGGCTGTGTCGGGTGGTGGCGGGTTGAACGACGCATTTATATATTTACGCAATCTAACCCAAAACAACCTTATGGATGATATTGGTCGCGAAATAAAACAATCCATAAAACTACAAATTCCGATAAACTGTCTGCATGAGTTTGAGAGGCAACACGCACACACGCGCAGGAGATAACACACACAAACCAGACAAAGACCCCCCTTATAGCCTTAACAGGATGTTGGGGCAAGTGCTGTTAGCGAGTGGCAGCAGCAGTGCCTATGAAGGCGGCAACAGCACACGAGTGGGTGGGTGGCCAGCACCATGCCCGCCCGGCTGCCTTTAGCTCCCCGGTACCGGTTCAGATAGTCGCCATGGGGCTGGTGGTGCCCGTGAGCGGGAGTTGAACTCGGGTCGCCGGGTTCGCAGTGCAGCGTAGCGCGAACCGCAACACTACCACTCCGCACACACAGCAGTACACAACGACACCAGTACACACAGCAGTACACACACACACTAGAAGATAGCAGTACACACACCGTTACATACATAATAGTACACACAGAGCAATGCACACACACAGCAGTACAACACTAAGTGGCGGTGACGTCACCACGACGCTTGTGCCAGGCTATGTGCACCTTGAGGCCACGTGAAGTGTCGTACGCCCGCTGGTAGGTCACGGGGCAGACCCAGGTGCCACGGGTCGACTGACTGAGATGACCGAGATGACTGGCTGATGCACCACCTGTGCCCCCTACTGTGCCAACTTGCTGTGCTTTAGCCACCCGGCGCTCCGCTCGTTGTTGTGAGCGTCGCTCCTCCGCCCTCCGTTGTTGTTGGAGGGCGACTGCCTCCAACTGCCCAGTAGCGTCCTTCACGAGCCTCCTCCACAGAGGCCGATCTTGACACCGCTGGTACCAGTCATCGGCAAGTTCACTCGGCTCCACGTCCTCCTGTACCACGTCACTCCATCTCTTCTCAAGCCCCTGCCGCGCCCGTTTAGCCCCCTCGATCCGGCCGAACAAAAGCTGTTTAGGCATGCGGTGGCTGGGCATGCGGTGGCTGGGCATGCGGGCTACATGACCCAGCCAACGCAGCCTTGCCTGCCAGAGGAGCTCACCGATGGGACTTTGCCCAGATCTTTCAGAAGTACACACACACCAATACACACACAGCAGTGCCCACACAGCAGTACACACACGAGTACACAAACTTAGCAGTGCACACACGATGCACCCATAGCCCAGCCTCAGGCGATGTGAAGAAACGCGAAACGATTGTTTTGTATTGTACCAGTTACAGCTCCCCGCGCTCCGTAGCTCCTTTTCAGAAGCGACGTGTCCATCACAAACGACAGCAGCTCAATCAAGTGGCTGATACCATCGTCATCATCATCATCACGTGGACATTTATAGCAGCAGCCAAATACTCTAAACACATGGAGATAGTGATAGGTTTTTGCCCTTTCATCTGGTCCAACACCAATTGAGACTAGGCTCTAAGAAAAACTGTCTCGGGTGTGGACCAATCAACTTCAAGGACAGTGCATATCATTATCATCATCAGAGTTGTTTTCTTTTTGTTTGCATTTTGACTGCTTGTGTTGTGGTTATTGCAAACATGATGCCTTGTATAAAGGTGTCAGTTTTTGTACCAGTTGAAAGGGTAAAAACCTATCACTATATTTTGCCACTGGTAAAGGAGATGTCTCATAGTGTAAACACATGGAGATACATAGAGACCCATACTCAGAGACACATAGAGACCCACAGAGACCCATACTCATAGAGACCCAGAGAGACTCAGATACCCATGGGGACCCACATAGACCCACACTCAGAGACCAATGCTCAAATGAAACTTTGCTTATTGTTACCAGGTGAGGCCCCGCTAAGCGGTGAAGCTCGTTTATCAGAAGCGAAGTGTCCATCACAAATCATAGCAGCTCAACCACGTGACTGATATCGTCATCATCGTCACGTGGGCATTGAGAGCATGAATGTGGAGGGAAAACCCGGAGGACCTGGAGAAGAATCCACGCAGCGATCACCGCGGGGAGAGAGACACAGACTCCAAATATACAGCAGCAGCAGTAGCAGGCATTGCCAGGGTCCGGCATTGAACCCACGCCTCCTGCGTGCCAGGCGAGGGAGATTACATCTGACGATGTCTACGTCTCTCTATGTCTATTTGTGTCTCGTGCAAGATGTTGGTTTTGGGGTTTTCCCCGCCACACTTCCCTATGATGTTTACTGACAAACACAGTGACTTTACCGAAAGAGCCAAAGAATGTGAATTGCTGCAGTCACGAAAGCTCTTTGTCAAGAGTCATATCTGCATCTTTAGAACAACAACAGACGTCGTGGGTTTCACAATGGCGGTGTCACGGACACGCTGAGTCAGGATCCTGGGTTCACGACCTGCGCCAAAGCGTCTCTCACCTTTGAAGGTTCACAATGGCCTTGAAAGAAGTTCCACAAAGATAAAGATCCCCCGCATAGCCTTAACAGACTGTTGGGGCAAGTGCTGTTAGCGAGCAGCACCTATGAAGGCCGGAACGGTACACGAGGGGGTGGGTGGCCAGCACCACGCCCGGCCGCCTTTGTCTCCCCAATGGCGATGTTTACACACCGCACCAGGTACTCATTTGAGGCTGAGTGGACCTAGGGGAGGCCCATCACCGGTTCAGATAATCGTCACTGGTGTTGGCCGCTAGTGGGAATCTAAACCGGTTCTCCAGGTTCGTAGCGCAATTTAGCGCTAACCGCTACACTACCGCTCCCCACACCCACACACACCCGTACACACACACTGACACGTACACACACACGTGAAGTGTCGAACGTCCGCTGGCAGGAGGTCACGGGGCAGACCCAGCAGGTGCCACGGGTCGACTGACCGAGATGACCGAGATGACTGGCTGATGCACCACCTGTGCCCCCTACTGTACCAACTTGCTGTGCTTTAGCCACCCGGCGCTCCGCTCGTTGTTGTGAGCGTCGCTCCTCCGCCCTCCGTTGTTGCTGGAGGGCGACTGCCTCCAACTGCCCAGTAGCGTCCTTCACGAGCCTCCTCCACTGAGGCCGATCTTGACACCGCTGGTACCAGTCATCGGCAAGTCCACTCAACTCCACGTCCTCCTGTACCACATCACTCCATCTCTTTTCTAGCCCCTGCCGCGCCTGTTTAGCCCCCTCGATCCGGCCGAACAAAAGCTGTTTCGGCATGCGGGTGGCTGGGCATGCGTGCTACATGACCAACACATACACGTACACACACTATTCAGAGGCACGTCATTCAAAATGCTCAGGTGGTGGGATGCTGCAGGGGTCAGATCACTGACGCAGCAACCGCGGAGTTCCTGGAATTGATTCTAGATTTGAAGCTTTCGTGACTGCAAGATTCATACTCTTAGTTTTTTCCGGTAAAGTCACGTAGGTAGAAAATTGAAATTGAAATTAATAAAAAATAAAATAATACAAAATCACGACGTTTCGGAGGCAACACAAGTCTCTGTCATCAGGTGGGACCGTCACAGCCAGATTTGCTGTATCAAGAATTGCATTCCAGATGTGAGCCCTGTAAGGGGTTGGAGCTCGTGATTGACACAGAGACCCATTGACACACACACAGACCCAATGACATACACAGAGACCCATAGACTCACACAGAGACCCATAGACACACACAGAGACCCATAGACACACACAGCGACCCATAGACACAACAACAACAACAACAACCGCCATTCGCCACTAAGTGGCGGTGACGTCACCACGATGCTTGTGCCAGGCCAAGTGCACCTTGAGGTGCCCATAGACACACACACAGACACACAGAGACACACAGAGACCCATTGATATACACAGAGATCCATAGACACACACAGAGACCCACAGACATACACAGAGACCCATAGACACACACACAGAAACCCACAGACATACACAGATACCCATAGACACACACAGAGACCCACAGACACACACAGAGACCCACAGACATACACAGATACCCATAGACACACACAGAGACCCACAGACACACACAGAGACCCATAGACACACACAGAGACCCATTGACATACACAGAGACCCATAGACACACACAGAGACACACAGACATACACAGAGACCCATACACACACACAGGGACCCTTAGACACAGAGACCTATAGACACACAGAGACCCATAGACACACACAGAGACACACAGACATACACAGAGACCCATACACACACACAGGGACCCTTAGACACAGGAGACCCATACACATACAGAGACCCATAGACACACACAGAGACCTACTGATTCACACGGAGACTCATACACATACAGAGACCCATAGACGCCAGTCGGTAATACGATCTCGCTCCACTTGGCACGGATTGGTGATAGCATCTTCTCCAGAAGGATCTAGACGTGAACTAAACACAAAACTAAACTACAGTATTGTTATTCTAGCAGGTAAGGCCCGCTGGGCTACGTATCTCATTTTCTAGAAGCGACCTGGCCACAAATGATAGCTCAACGAAGTGGCGTATCATCATCATCATCATCACGTGGAAAGGTCTATCAGCAAATGCTGATTATAAATGTGGAGGGAAAAACCGGAGGACCCGGAGTCAAATCCATGAGACCACGGGGAAAACACGCAAACTCCAAATATACAATAGGCGTCAGGGTTAGGATCAAACCCACGACCTCCTGTATATCAGGCGAGGTGGTTAACATCTTCTTATCATGGTAATAAGGTCGGGATCGAAACCACGACCTCCTGTATACCAGGCGAGGTAGTTCACATCTCCTAGCCACCGTAGCGTTAGGGCCGGCATTGAACCCACGACCTCCTGTATCCTAGGCGAGGTAGTTAACATCTCCTAACCATCATGGTGATAGGGTCGGGATCGAAACCATGACCTCCTGCATACCAGGCGAGGTAGTTAACATCTCCTAGCCACCGTGGCGTTAGCACTGGGATCGAACCCCTCACCTCCTGCATACCAGGCGAGGTAGTTAACATCTCCTAGCCACCGTGGCGCCGCTAATACGACCGTCATCAGTGTAACGTTCTTTCCCCGTGGCCCTACTGGATCATCTGTGAAACAGAGCTTCATAGCTCATCGGATTCCTCCAGTAATCAATAAATAAATTCTGATTCTGAGATTCTGATTTATCCGCAGGAACGGTGGTCACTGACAGCGTGGGGGTTGGGAATGGCTCGGAGTCCGGAGCGCAGCGCCAAGGAACAGCACCACGTGAGTTCAATGCCATCACGACCATCACCACCATCATCACCATTATCACCACCATCATCACCATTATCACCACCATCATTATCACCACCACCATCATCACCATCATCACCATCGTCACAACCACTATCACCATCACAACCATCATCATCATCACCACCATCACAACCACTACCATCATCATGACCATCATGACCATCAACACCATCACCACTTTCATCATCATTATCACCATCATCATTATCACCACCACCACCATCATCATCACTTTCATGATCACCATCATCATTATCACCGTGATCATCACCACCATCACCACAATCATCATTATTACCATTATCATCACCACCACCACAACCACCATCATCTTCATCACCACCATCATCATCACCACAACCACCATCATCTTCATCACCACCATCACCAGTTAACTATTATCTGGGCAGTGACAATAACTATGGACCGCCTGAGAAAGCTAATTTCGTGATCTAACAAAAGTGATGCTCAACCAAGAACCGGAGTAGCATTAAATAACCGTTTAATTTTTCGTAAAAGTAATCAACTATTTAACTACAAAAACGTGACATCTACCTAACAGTCTCTCTCATTAACCTGACAAAACGATCGTAACTAACTACAACTCTTGATTTAAAGCTGTCGTGACTGCAGGGATTCATATTCTTGGTTCTTTCGGTAAAGTCACGTCGAAGGTAAATAATAAAATAAGAAAAAATATAAAACAATATAATTCTGACGACGTTTCGACTGCAACACAAGCAATCATCATCAGGTGTGAATCCACAGCAAAAAAAAATTGCTGTGGATTTCACACCTGATGATGATTGCTGATGATGATTGCTTGTGTTGCAGTCGAAACGTCGTGAGAATTGTATTGTTTAATATTTAATTATTTTAATTATTTTATTATTATTATTATTATTATTTCCCTTCTACGTGACTTTACCGAAAGAACCAAAGAGTATATTGACACCTGTTTTATTTCCAGAAAGAGTAAAACCTATTGTTATATCACAACCTATTGTTATATTACAACCTATTGTTATATCACAACCTATTGTTATATCACAACTCGTTTCGCCTGACCTGAATGCCAGATTCACAAGGCCGGTCAGCACAGTGAACGCACAAAATCCCCGTCACATCAACGTCGGTGCAGCACCTTGATTCTCACTCGGAGAATGACGAAACAATAACGGGCCCGACTGCTATGCGACATGAACTCTCTGTAGCAGAATAGATGTGAACGTACTGCCCTCTCCTGCCTGAGTCGTGACATAGCCAACACTATTCTGACGATCATCATAATCACCGTGGCAAGGCCGTAGCCATGGAGTCAACATTGGGGGGGACCAAATCTTCCAGGGGGTCTGGCCCCCTCCCTCCAGAAAAAAAAAAATCTAAATTTGAAAACTCATTTCCTGCCATTTTCTGCCTAAAATATAAAAAAAATCACTAACACATGGGATGGACTTTGTATTTATTTTTTACAATAATGTCTAATGGTGTATTGTATCTTCTTGGTTCTTTCGGTAAAGTCACGTAGAAGGGAAGTAATAAAATAATACATAATAAAACATAATAAAATAGTGATAATTATTTTATTATGTTTCATTTTTTATTATTTTATTATTTCCCTTCTACGTGACTTTACCGAAAGAACCAAGAAGATGAATCCCTGCAGTCACCAAAGCTTTAAATCGAAAGGTGTATTGTATTACAATGCTCTGTTTTTACTTATTTACCTTTTCTTGTTTCATTGTATGTAATGGCAGAGATTAGCGATTCATAACTTACAACCATAACCACAATCATGTTAACAGATATTGTTTAGCAAATTGTTGTTTTTATTTACATAGCATCGCAATTATTATTTTTAAAAATATTTTTATAGAAATATATTGGGGGGGACATTTTGAGCATATTTGATTATTGGGGGGGGGTGTCCTCCCCAATATAGATTATATTTACGGCCTTGCACCGTTGTCACCACCACCATCATCATCATTATCACCATCATCACCATCATCACCATCATCATCATCACCATCATCATTACCACCATCATCATCACCACCACCATCATCATCACCACCATCATCATCATCATCACCATCATCATCATCACCATCATCATCACCACCACCATCATCATCATCACCATCATCATTACCACCATCATCATCACCACCACCATCATCATCACCACCACCACCATCATCATCACCACCATCGTCATTATCACCACCATCACCATCATCACCACCATCATCATCACCATCATCATCACCACCACCACCATCATCATCACCATCATCATCACCACCATCATCATCACCACCACCATCATCATCACCACCATCATCATCACCACCATCATCATTATCACCACCATCGTCATCATCACCACCACCATCGTCATTATCACCACCATCATCATCACCACCATCATCATCACCACCACCATCATCATCACCACCACCACCATCATCACCACCATCGTCAATATCACCACCATCATCATCACCACCACCATCATCGCTAGTTAACTATTATCTGGGCAGTGACAATAACTATCGAACACCGGGAAACGAATGATTAATACATCAATACATAACAATCAAAAGAAAGCTGATTTAGTGATTTTTTACTTAAAACTTTCGTGACGTTTCGATCGCGACACAAGCGGTCTTCATCAGGCGACAAGAAAATCGTCCCGACTCAAATGCGACATGAACTCTGTAGCAGAATAGATGGGGACGTACTGCCCTCTACTGCCTGAGTCGTGACATAGCTAACACGGTGGCGCGTAGCCTCGTACAGTAATATCATCTTCTTGGTTCTTTCGGTAAAGTCACGTAGAATGGAAATAATAAAATAATAAAAATAAAACATAATAAAATAATTCTCACGACGTTTCGGCCACAACGCAAGCAGCCGTCCTCAGGTGGAGAACAGGTCTGTCGAGAAGACAGTCTGAATGGCACGCCCCAGGCTTGGAGCGACTATTTAAGCTGGGATGGAGGGGGAAGAGCGCCTTGACAAAATAATTTGCATATCAAGAGGAATTTAGCATATTTATGGGAAATGCAGATATGCGATTAGTACTACTTGTGAAATGCGTAGGAGGTTTGGCGGGGGGTTTAAAGTCATTATGCCCGTGCATTATGCAGGATTAGCAGCATCAAAGGGAGGGGATAGAGGTAACATTATTAAAGGGAAGGAATGTTAATAGTATGTAGCTGCAGTAACAGTTATATCGTCAAGGCTCGATTATTGCAACTCACTACTCTACGGGATGTCTGGAAAAACATTTGCAAATTGCAGCGTGTACAAACTCTCTGGCATGTGTCGTGACGGGCACTGCAAGATGGGGCCGTGTACATCGAGTGCTCACCAAGCTGCATTGGCTTCCGGTTGCAGAAATTATCAGAGCCATATCTGTTTGCATGTTCACCACAAGTACTGTGTGGTCAATGCAACACTTAATTTCTTGAAAAAGGTTTCTATTTGGTGTTTTAACATCTGAACACTCCTCCTGTTTTATTGCCAAAAAGTTTAACACCTATTCTCATTTTCCATACGCGATGTACTAATGTGGGCGCTGTGTGTTGTTGTTTCTCTAGAATTTATGGTCATCACCCCAGAGAAAATGAACGCCGTTGCAGACAGCACGATTTTCCTGCCCTGCTCCTACACCTGTACAATCAGCGGCGTTACTCACACGCTGGTGGAGTGGTTGAGGATCATTAATGGGCGTGAAGAAAGGGTGAGTTATAAATCTCTATATCATAGTAAGACATCTAAATACGGGAAAACCTTGCCCAACGCGGATTTTTCGAACGCGTCGGTTTGTCGGAACACGGTGGGTGATCCATAATACAGGTTGTTTTGGGTTAGATCGCGTAAATATATAAATGTGTCGTTAAACCCGTCACCACCCGACACAGGCAATAGTAAGGGTTGTCACGTAAACAGAACGTGCCAATTCGTCACTAATACAGCACTAACCGGTGTGTTGGAGAGCAAAGCCACAACATTTACAAAATGAGTACGACGTTTCACCAGTAATTACAACTAGCTTCATCAGGCGGCAGCCAGATTTGTGGAGAAATCCTCCCGTTTCGTTCCTTAAATAGAGGCGTAGATGTGATGGCATCACTTGTGAGCACTTGTTGAGTGATGTGGGGAGGGGGGATTCATTAATGTTTATGAATGAGAATGGGTATCCACTGCCGGTTGGATTATTTATATGGCAATCAACGTAATCTCTGCATCTTTTGAGGAACGCCAGTGAAGACAACAACTTCATCCGCTTGATTCGGAGTTTCTCCAATTATCTGGTTTGAAGAAAAGTATCCTCCCCATAGAGGTTAGTCAGTTTAACACGCAGACTTTCGCGACCAACATCATCGTGATTGCCGTGGTTTTGTGTTGAGGTGATATTGAAAACCAAAAAGTGTACCCACACAGCAAGAAGAATACAACGTCATGATGCAGTCATTGATGAGAAGGAGACTGGCACTATTTGGACACATCTGTAGGATAGACAACAACATGAAAATTGAAAGTGATGTCGTTCAGAAAAATGGAAGGAACCGGAAAGGGAGGAAGACCTCATGGAGAATGGCTTGACGACGACATAATAAGAGTTTGGTGCCAGAAAGACGTGGCCACTCCTTGAGCAGATTGGCACAAGACAGAGGGGAAGTGGAAACGAATGACAAAATGTGCAGTGGACACCTTTCGGGCCATCTGCCTGTCGATCGCGATGATGATGGCACACAAGACATGGAGAGCGACCCAGCATCTGTTAGTACAATAACAATGGCAGAAATTGTGCAGCATTAGTTATAGCAAAGAGGGAGGAAGTGATCATTTAGGACCCAGAAAGGCAACCAGAGTTTTCCAACGAGGTCTGTTACTTTTTCGAACGCGGTTTTGCCCAACCCGGCATTTCCCAGGAATGTTTGGCGAGGTCTGCGTGCACTGAGCTAAGGGGGTGCGGTGCCCCAGTGTACTATTAGTGAACACCGATTTCATTGCCAGAAAAGGGTAAAACCTATTCTTATTTTGAATACTTTTGTAGGGGACTAATGTAGAGAAACGTTAAGGGTTCAAGAAATAGAACAGGTTGTGATAAATTAGTGCAGGTGGCTGGATGTCTAAACATGCAGGGAGGACGTTATTAACCAGGTAAAGTCAAAACTCGCTGTGATGCTTCCATCCTTCCTGCCGTTTGGCTGTTATCTCCGACTCTCTGACTTGCATTGCCCTGTCGGATGCCTTTGCATTAAAGGGCTGGGGTCTCACTAACATGGCCACTTCTGCTCCTTGAGCCTCGACGTATCGTTGGTTCTTGCTGTGTTGTGGGCTGTGTGTCTCACTGGCATGGCCACTTCTGCTCCTTGAGCCTCGACGTATCGTTGGTTCTTGCTGTGTTGTGGGCTGTGTGTCTCACTGGCATGGCCACTTCTGCTCCTTGAGCCTCGATGTATCGTTGGTTCTTGCTGTGTTGTGGGCTGTGTGTCTCACTGACATGGCCACTGTCGTGGTGGTTCTCTTGCGTTGACGCTCTTGCCTCGTGGAGGCCACTCTTCGATCTCACATTAACATCACGCTAATCTCTCACACTAACATAGCCACGTCCGTACCCTCGTCGAGGAGGACACTCTCCTATCTTACAGTTACACGCTAATTTCTCACATAAACATCACTAGCCCCGCCAACTTCTTTATGACCCTTGGGCTACACCCATTTCGAACCTTTTAAAACAGTCTGCCTCAGCAGCAGACTACGATTTCTCACCTGACGACGGACGCTTGTGTTGCACCCGAAACGTCGTGATGGATTTTATTTTATACCTACGTGATTTGCCGAAAGAACCAACGAGTATCTATAGAAGTAACTGCACACATTGGGGTGGGCGGGGGAGAAGAGGACATCACGCTGCTCTGTAGCTTCCTCAGCCTGTGCTTCTGCAGTAACTGTGCAGTCTCTGGCTTGTCTTGAAGCACGCTGCCCTGCGGTTTTCTCAGCTCGTGCTGCTGAGGCACCTTCGTTGTTTGTTAGATGTTGGGACAGCCGCTGCTTCTCCACTGTTTGCTTTGCGCGCCACAGCGACACTCTCTTTGTGTTTGTTTTCGTCTTGGAGAGGCTTGATTTTTTTATTTTGGCATTTTTAACCCGAAGAAGAACCTCCCGTCGTCGCTCAGCAAGTTTGTTTGCATTGCTAGGGGTAACCGCGAGTCGCGTTCTGTGAATGTGCAGATGCATGCTTTGGCGCACACTCAAAGTTATCATTATGATCAGCGTACTTTATTACAAAGTGTAATTTTCCTAGTTTAGATTGGACCAAGAGCAAAAACAAATAGCACTGCACCAGATTGGGTTAAATGATGAAGTTACCGTGCTGCTGCTCTATTTAAGACCGGGAACAAGTGGATGGCTTCACCGTTCTGGCAAATTGCCCGATGATGCTGGATGCAATTACCAGCGAAACGTCGAACTCAAATTGTAAATGATGTTGATTCACTCTTCAACACACCGGTGGGCTAAAGTAGTGAACTATTTGTCTTTGTAAACGTGAGACAATTTTTACTGTTTGGCCGTGTCGGGTGGTGGAGGGTTACAACACCTTTATAAATAACGCGATCTAACCCAAAACCCTTTATAATGAACAAATAGCAAGTGTTTGTCAAATGGCTTAGTTTGTTGTATTTGTGTACTTTGTTAAAAGCATTACAAGAATAGGTGTACACAGACAAAAAATGGCTTTTATAGGTAAGATGTTTTGTTTGCATGTTTTGCAACAAATACGTGTGGTCAATGCAGACTTGATTCCTTGCAAAAGGTATCTATTTGGTGTTTGAACATCTTAACACCTCATGTTCTATTGCCAGAAAGTGTAAACCATTTTTCTATTTTTCATACTTTGATACTGGCAAAAAGGTCCCATAGATTTTACAAATTATTTCAATAAATATATATAATTTTCCATATTCATAGTACATAATGGTAATTTATCTCGATCATTAGAGTATATTAAAAACAAAATTGTACAAATGAAATAAACAAATACATCACTGGAACCATGTACATGCAGTCATCGACTTACGAACATCAAACTTACGAACGGGTCACAGGAACAAGGACTGCCCTATAGTGTGCTACAGCTACTGCTGTATTTGTATCTGCTCACGTTAATTATATGACTCTATGCATACGTAGCCCGTGGTGAAGGGTGGGTGGGTGATCTAAAACCCATCTCAAAATACTCTCTCCCAGGGTTATATTGATATAAATTTTGGTAGACAATGCAATTAGCATGCATGTGCTGGTAGACTGTTTTATATGTACAAATTGTATGATGTCATAACGTCCTGTACATATGACCGCCGATGTATAGCTCGTATCCAGGTCTCTTGTATGTATGTATGTAGAACTTCTTTCGCACGATACGTAGCCAACCGTGCTAACTCTACATCTTACCACCTCCTGTATTGTGATTTCGGTAAAAGGCATCCAACAGATGTTAGAGCCATTTTTATTCATTTTGGGTGCGAACTCCGGTTATCTTTGCAGTGGCTTTTGGCTGGCCATCGAACAAAGATGGTCACCGCATCGCGCGCTTTCACATGCGCTCCTGCGGCCATCTGGAACGCTCTGCCTTATGATATTAGGAAGCCACTGGAGCTACGCACTTTTAAATCATCATCTAGATTGACAAACTCGTTTCTTTAAAAGTGCTGTTTGTGTTTAGTTTGTTGTCCTTCCCCAGCACCTCCGATTAGCACGGCTGCCTATGTACTGTGCCAAGGAAGTTCAACATACATACAACATACATACATCTTTGATCTGTGCATGCTCTCGCTTTGTTGACCACAGATTTATCTATTCCCCAATGGAAATAGCAGCTTCCAGCCTTTACAGGCGTCCTGGGTGGGTGATGTGTCCAAGTGTGACGCCTCCATCACCGTCAAAGACATCAAGATCCACGACTCTGGGCAATATCGCTGTGAGGTCACGGTGTATCCACAATACATGGAAGGCATTGGGTATCTACAGCTGAATGTCAACAGTCCATCAGGTTTGTGTTATTTCCTTCAAACGTCGACTATATTACCACCCACAACTACATAATCTATCCTATAGACCTGATGTAGAACTCAACATCTACACTTTAGAGCCATGGGCCCAGTGCCACGGTGAACTGGCTTAAACCCCTGGCTACGATCTCATAACCACCAATGTACATCAGAACCTTTGACTGCTCCTCACCGACATTTACGCAGTCTTAAAACCACGTTGGATAGGAGGTGACTCAGAGGTCAGAGTGCTGAGCTCGCGCCACTCAGAATCATGGGTTCAAGTCCAGACATTTGTCTGTGAGCTAACCGAGACCTAAAGTCGAGTCAGTTGATGGACTAAGCCCACTCCATCTGCAATTCTGCACTTAATTGACGAAATTAAAACTCTGAGAATTAAAACGCATCTAGTTGATTGTCATGCGATAAGCGCTGTTCTATGTGGAAGAGCAATTTGTGAAAGTCCTGCTCCCAACTCTGTGGACCAGCAGAGGTCGCTTGAAGGAATCTCAGTCAGCTCTGTGATATCTGCTCTGCGGATTGTTCTCTAGCAAGACACGTTGCACCACTCTGTGAGAAATCCCAATTAATGTTTTTATTAATGACGAGACACGGGAATAAAATTTGGTAAAAAAAATATATAGACGAAACCCTTCCCCAACGTGGCTTCATCTAACACGTGTTTTGTCTCTCGACGGTTGTGGCTGATGAGGTTTGTTTTCCATAACACAGGGGTGGGATTTTGTTGATACGCAGTTTGACGCTGCTAACATTTTTGTATCTGCATAAAAATGTAGTGCCTTGAGAGGGCTGCGTCCGTTGGAATGTGTGAATTAACTGTGAGAACGATGTATTTACCGTGTATGTCTGTGTACGTGTGGGTATGTTTTTTTGTGTGATAACGTAATGCACTCAAAACGCACAGCAGCAGCACAACGTAAATGTTCACACATTACCGCATGAATCTAGTTATTGAGAACGTTAGCCATACGGATGACTCGATGGTGAATCATTAATGTTCAAGTGACAATGTTAGTGGCGAGCGTAGGGTGTGAGTGCTGTGGTTCGGGAAGAATGGAGACGGGGGTTTGTGTTGCGTTGAAATTGACAAAGAGTGTACACACACACACACAGGACATGAGAACGACTCAGCATCCTTTTCGATTTAAAGCTTTCGTGACTGCAGGGATTCATCTTCTTGGTTCTACGTGACTTTACCGAAATAACCAAGAAGACTCAGCATCCGTTAGTACAATAACGAGTGTGGGCATCTTGTAGTATTAGTTAAACAAAGAGGGAGGGGGTGATCATTTCGAAGGCAGGAAGGCAACCCGAATTTTCCCATGAAGTCTGTTTTTTGTCGAAAAAGTTGTGCCCAACATGGAATTTTCCAGGAACGTAACCCCCCGCGTTCGTCGAGGTCTGCCTGTTCTGTACTTTCAAACGCATTGTTACTGACAAATGTTTCGAGTTTATACATTTATATTATATAAGACAAAATATATACTAATGTGGGCGTTGTGTGTGGTTTTCCTAGAACTCGTGGTTGTGACCCCAGATAAAATTAACGCCATGGCAGGCGCTACATTTCTGCTGCCCTGCTCCTACGCCTGTACAGTCAGCGGCGTTACCCACACGCTGGTGGAGTGGTTCAGGACCATCGACGGGCTTGAAGAGAGGGTGAGTTACTCCACTGTCCGTTCTGTGCGCCATTTGCCGCTAAATTGCAGCAAGCGCAAGCGTGGAATCATAGTCTTGTTCGTTAACTTGGTCACATGACCCTTGAGCATTTACAATATGCAACGCAGATGAACAGGTTTGGTATTTTCTATACAGATCGAGGGCCCCTCGTCACGTGACTGGGCGGGGGCATGGGCCAGCCATTTTAAAAACAGTCTCCACGTGAAGCTCCTTAGTCAACAGTTAATCCAGCCCAGTTGCAAGCCCTGGAGACAAATTTTATGCTGAAATAATATAACGCATCTGATCTGTGTGTTGCTTTCACCTTTACTGACCACAGCTTTATAAATACCCCTATGGAGAGAGCGGCCACTGGCCTTTACAGGCCACCTGGGTGGGTGATGTGGCCAAGTGCGACGCCTCCATCACCGTCAGTGACATCCTGACCAACGACTCTGGGCGATATCGCTGTGAGGTCTCGGTGTATCCACAAAATATCCAAGACATTGGGTATCTACAGCTGAACATCCACCCACAAACAGGTTTGTTTCACGTCCTTCATAGGTCTGTCCTACCACTCACTACTCCCATCATCTGTCATGTAGCCCAGCCCTAGCACTCAATGTCCACGCGACAAAGTCACGTTTTGCCTTTCGTGTTTGGTTTGTTTTCTTTCCCCCGCACCTCCGCGGTTGGCTACGTACGATGTGAAAACAGTTCAACACGAATACGTACATGTGACAGAGCCGTGCACCTAGAACCATGGTCATCTGGGTTCAACTCCTGCCTGTGAATCTTCACTTTCATTGTTCAATTAGCAAACAATCCGGATGTCAAGTCCCATGAGTTTGTCATCTTAGCCTGGTCACCTGGGCACCCTTGTAAATAAATGTTCCTTCTCAACGGATTATCCAGGTGAAATTATTCAATAAATAATAACAGTACTACGCAAATATCATAACATTGTATTCGGTTATCAGACGTTGCACTTAATTTGCCTAATTCCAAGCGATATAATCCCAAAAACCTATATTATGGATGATATTGGTCGCGAAAGCCTCCGTGTTAAACATTACTCTAATTTGCAATGCATCATCGGAAAATAATCGTCCCTGCCGTGTGGATCCAAAATATATAGCAGCCAAATGCTCTAAACGGATCTTTCTAAATATGGAGGGGAAACCCGGAGGACCCAGAGAAAAATCCATGCAACCACGGGGAGAGTAAACACGCAAACTCCAAACAGCCAGCAGGCGTCAGGATCGGGATCGAACCCACGACCCCCTGTATACCAGGCGAGGTCGTTAACATCCCACCACCTCGGCTCCACTTGAAGGGAACTCAGAGGTAGCTCTAAGCCATCCACTTCTGTGGACCGTTCTCTAACATGCAGCGTTGCACTTTAGCACACAAACACACAAAACATACGTGCTAACGTGCAACGCAAGAGATGCTTCGTCTAACGGAAAGTATTTGCCCCATCTCTCTCTCTGTCCTAATTGTCATCACTGCGTTGTGAGACCAGCACCTCCACCTCCTCCTCCAGAGGTTCATTCCCTCTGCTCATGTGACCATTGTGGGTTTGTCCACAGACCTGGCCGTTGTCACCCCGGATGCAAAGGATGCCACAGTAGGCAGCACGGCTCTCCTGTCCTGCTCTTACACCTGCAAGATCACAGATATTAGACACACGCTGGTGGAGTGGTTCAGGACCATAGACGGACACGATGAGAAGGTGCGTCACTGTCACACTTGCACACGATTACTTACACCCTCCTGCTCGCAATGATGATTACATGTTCTTTATTAACGCCCGTTCGTGCTCATTTATTTCAATGGAGGTCACCCCCTCTCCTTTGCTGGTTCTATTGTTAACTTTTACGTTTTTCAGACACCAGAATAGTATTGTGTCTTCAGATACAATAATCTCAAATTATCTCTGTTCTCTCTACTCGAAAGAAGAGTCATTTCCTAAACTGTAGGCTTATTATATATTTATATGTTATAATTAAATGTTATTTACGTATTATGTCAGTTTTCAGAATATGAGCACGTGTATTATGTGGACACACAGTTATGCCCTGGCGTGTTCTGACGTTTGCCATCAAGGTGTACAAGGCGTACTACAGAAAGAGAAGCCTCAGGCCATTGCAGGTGACTTGGGTGGGTGATGAGTCCACGTGTAATGCCTCCATCACCATCAGCAACATCCAGACCCACGACGCTGGGCGATATCGCTGTGAGGTCACGGTTTATCGATACGACAAGCCAAGCATGCAAGACATCGGGTATCTGCAGCTGGATGTTCACAATGAACCAGGTGTGCATGATGTCCTCCCTGGATCTATTTAACACACATTACTTTATCATTCTTGCTCAACGAGAATGCTAATTCTCTTTATTGTCCAGATTTACCACTAAAATACACTCTGTGGCACAGCCATAAAGGGTCTTTGTTATTCTTCACAGATATCACATCCTGTAGTATAAGAAACTCGACTATTTGCTGAGTTGTCTACATGAGCCAATGACATTGTAAGTTCCTGTCTGTCCCTGTGTGTGTCCCATGAGATTGTTGTCCTCTTGTGGGATGTTGAAAAATAGCTTCTTAGCTCAGGAAATAAGCTTCTGATTCGGATTCCCTTCAAGTGCCGATGTAGGAGCTGCAAGCCGATTTACAGCGTCAACAGGAAACCGGCACAGCGATGATTGACGTCTCCTGGCTGTCCATGACACCATTTGGCGTTATTGTCTGCAGCTGCCGAAGTTGGCTAAATATCATCAAAAGCTGTTCTACCATTCACCTAATGAACACGATGCTCAGCAACCGTGCGTTGAGGGTGAACACCTCGCGGTGAACACAGCCGCGAGAGACTCATGAACAATGGCCTCCATCTAGGCTCGGTATTATAGCACCGTCACTATGTAACATTCACAGGCAGGCCTCGCCGGACGCTGGGGGTTATGTTCCTAGAAAATGAGGTTTTAGGAAAAACGGTGTTCGACAAAAAATAGACATTGTGGGAAAACTAGGGTTGCCTTTCTGGGCTCGAAATGATCACCCCTCCCTCTGTGTTCCTAATTCTACGAGATTTCTGCCCTTGTTATTTTACTAAACGATGCCGAGTCACTCTCAATTTCTTGCGTGTGCACACTCCTTGACATAAAACCCCCGTCTCATTCCCGCACCGCAGAACTCGCGTCCAATGCTCTCCCCTGACAATGATTTCCCAGCCTGACGCTCGCCCCCGACTCTGTCACTGATTCGCCGTCTAAAGTCCTCAATGACTTCATGGCGAGATGCTTGCGGCACTGTGTGAACATTCCTATTGCATCGTTGTGCATGTTGAGTGTGTTACTTTTTCAAACCAAAAAAAACATGCATGGTAATTAAATCGTTCATTCAGTCGGTTCATTCACACCTTCCAATGGAGGCAGAACCCTCACGGAACTATTTTTCGACAAGGAGATGAGAGTCTTCGCAGCGTCAAGCCGAAACACCACCCCTGTGATCCGGAAAACAGGCCTCATTAGGTGCACCGCGTAGAGCCAGAACGCGCGTTCGATAAAGCCACGGCGCGTCTGCTCTTCCTGAAAACCAGGAGGAGCAAACACTGCGGAGCACAGAAACCAGGATGGTGTGAAGGATCTCAGTGGATCACGGGACTTAATCGGTCAGAACTGAAGATCTGGGGAAGGAGGCGGGAGTGGCGGTGCTCATCTCACTCGAGCGGAGAGAGGGAGTCGGCTCACACGGCTGGGGCTGCCTTAGCAATAGAGGAGGGGGCAACCGCAAGGGCGATGGACGTGGAGGCACCAGGGCAGAGACAGAGGGGCAGGTCTAGAGCGAGGGGAGTAGAAGTGGCGAACGCGGCGGATTCGAGGGACTGTGGAGTCGACGCGGAGGTGTCCCAAGGCAGCAACGAGCAGAGCAGGAGGCGCTGCAGGGCAGAGACCGCACGAGAGGAGGGGGGCATGGCAGGGAGAGGAAGAAGACGTTGACTGTGTGCATCTCTTGGGTGTTCACGTGTTGCTATGTCGTCTGTGTTTGTGTTTAATAGAACCGACAAAGACAACACCCACACCAAGCCCAACCCCAACCTCAGCTCCACCTCCACCTCCGATACCTGTAGTTTGGATCGCCCTTGGAGTCATTGCTGCTCTGGTTGCTGTTGCTGGAGTTGGTTTTTACTTCAGGGGGAGGAAGATGAGACCACGTCAGCCAAGAGAGCCAGAAGCCCCGTGAGTATCGACCGCACTTGCACCAGGACCTCACAGTGAGTGATAGAACACGGCTCACAATGGCCACGCCAGAGACCCTGAGCCGGCCCTCTCCAAGGGCCTGAGTTTGACTCCAGCTCCCTGCCTGCTCGTGACTCAGAGCTGTGCTCAGTGGAGCCTGTGTGAGCTCCTGGCAGCTGGGACCCCTGAGTTAGACTCCCAGCCGTGGCTGCTGTCAGTGACAGGGGCTCTATATGAGTGGGGGTGGTGATGTGAGACTGCGTCAGTCATAGGAGATGGTGAACTCAATGGGCTCTCACGTGGTTAAATAACACACATCACAAGAGACAATGTTCTCAATGGGCTTCAACGTGGATAAATAAAGGATGTATTTCACATCATGGTCAGTGATTGCTATGATTAGTGGTTCCATGCGGGTGTCAGGCAGGTGTGAGTCGTGGGCTAGACTCCCAGCTGTGGTAGTGACACAGGCTGCATGTGAGTGATGGGGATGTGTGATTGACGCGTGTCCACTTTTCTCTCAACAGGCCTCAAGAAATGCAGCCAATGAATCCAGTTGGATAAGATGAGGTGAGAGCGAGAGAGACAGGAAGCAGGATACACTCTCATCAGGGTCATTCTTCCTGTGTGTGTGTGTGCACTGCGCTAAGAACCAGTGACCTGGGTTCAATTCCCTAACCTCGGTGTGTTGTGTAAACGCCAGCACTGCTGAGACAAAGGCGGCCGGGCGTGGTGCTGGCCACATCACCCTCTCGAGGTGTTACTCGCTAACAGCGATCACAGGACTGGATCGGTATGAACTGGAGAGCTGGGGAAGGAGGCGGGAGTGGCGGTGCTCATCTCACTCGAGCGGAGAGAGGGAGTCGGCTCACACGGCTGGGGCTGCCTTAGCAATAGAGGAGGGGGCAACCGCGAGGGCGATGGACGTGGAGACACCAGGGCAGAGCCAGAGGGGCAGGCCGAGAGCGAGGGGAGTAGAAGTGGCGAACGCAGCGGATTCGAGGGACTGTGGAGTCGACGCGGAGGTGGCTTAAGGCAGCAACGAGCAGAGCAGGAGGAGCTGCAGGAGAACCGATTCAAGAGCCGAATGGCTCACAGGGCTATACCTAATAAATTAACTTGAACTTGAGAGGAGGGGGGCATGGCAGTAAGAGGAAGAAGACGTTGACTGTGTGCATCTCTTGGGTGTTCACATGTTGCTGTGTCGTCTGCGTTTGTGTTTAATAGAACCGACAGACGCAACACCCACACCAAGCCCAGCTTCACCTCCAGCTCCATCAACTGCAGCTGGCATCGTCCTTGGAGTCATTGCTGCTCTGGGTGCTGTTGCTGGCGTTGTTTCTTACTGCAGGAAGAATATTTACAAGTTGATTCCTCGTCCCGTGATTTGACGCCGATTGGTGAATTATATACTTAAAACAAAAGAAAATTGGGTATTTTTACATTAGAGTACAGCAAACTCTTGCCTCTCGCGGGTTTAGCTATTGCGGTTTTGCAGTCTCGTGCCAAGTCTATGGAGGTACAGAGTTCGCTGATCGTGCCCCTATGGCTGGACCATTCGCGGTTGATCACGAGATTTCTGTACGCGTCGTAACTGCACCGCTCTCGATGCTGCTGCTGCTGCCGCGGAAGAACATGTGGTGCCATCTTGTCTCCATCTAATCTCCATCTTTTATCTGTCTTGTCTCCATCTTATCTCCATCCGGTCTCCATCTTATCTCCATCTTGTCTCTAGTCTCCCGTCTCTTATCTCAAGCGGCCCATTGCGGGTCCCGGGTCACGTGGTGTTTCCAGCCTCGAGTGAGCAGCAGTGAGTTTCAGCCGCCCGCCATTTTTCTTTCTATCGTGCGTTAGGAACTGTGAACCAAACCCCATTTTTCCCATTTGTCTTTGAGTTTGGGGAAGGCGGATTTTCCGATTGCGGCTTTTTACCAAGAACGTAACCCCGGCGATGGGCAAGGGTTTGCTGGATACTAAATGCTAAATCGATGCACCTCTATTCTATATTTGAAAGGCATAATGCACTTTATATATATACAGTATTGTATGCGCAAATTAAGCCTATATTGAATTTGATTCGAATATGATATATACTACTCGCCGAATGATTGATCTCTTCTATTAATATGGCAATGCGAGGCCATGAACGAGTATATCTTTAAAAATTGTAATGATTGAGTGTTACTCTGGAAAAATCGTGATAACCCACATGCCTCCGTACATGTTTTTCAGCAAAACCCAACAACGTAGATTCCAAAGCCAACACAACGATGCTGAGTTTTTTTGGGTTAATGGCAAGAATGTTGACATAGAACCCAGAAACAAACACGGGTCATTGTGATGGCGACAATGACAACTGACCTCTATTGGCAGGAACTGCAGGCATACCACTTAGAACAACTCTGTTTACAAAAAACGCATCTTGAGCACTATACGAGGTTTGCCTGTATACAGCAGTCCCTCGGTTAACAGTGACATTGGTTAACGGTTTTTCGATTAACATTTTGCCACCCATAGGACCTCATAGTTTAGACTAATGTTAACGTTGTGATTAACGGTACGTTTACGTTACGCACGCAGGCGCCGATTTCAGCCAACCCGAGCACTCTTAAGTGGGCTGAGCCACGCCCTCAGCCAATCAACGACGTGCAGCGATGAGCGTTGAGACCTCCACTGGCTTCGTTTACATTATAACGTTTTCTGTTTTGGCAGTGGAAACAGCTCTGTTGCAGACTCAGTGATTTTTACTTATTTTTTAACTCAAAAGTGAATTCGATTAGCAGTTATTTTAGTAAACAGTAGTTTTTGTGGAACGGGACGAAACGTTAATGGAAGGACTACTTTTATATCTTTTTTTAAATCAAGCCAAGTTCATTGCCTGATGAAGGTCCCATTAGTTTGAGCAACAACGTCGTCTCTTCAGCCACTGAAAAGCCGGAATCCACCACGGTGGTTATGAGATGTTAACTACCTCGCCTACTATCCCAACCCTGAGGTCTGATGTTCATTTGGAGTTTGCGTGTCTCTCGCTGCGATCGTGTGGATTTTTCTCCTGGTCCATTTTACTTCCACATTTAGAATCAACACACGGACAGAGTATTTGGCAGCTTTACCTTTCCACTCAATAAGCCACTTTGTTAAGTTACCATTTGGAGCCTGGTCACATGAAACAAGCTACATACACTAACTCAGTAGGCCTTATCTGGACATTCCACGTTATAACGGTTCTGCGAAAAGCGCTCCGGAATGGAAGAACTTCATTATATCATGTGAACACCGGCGCGTTCAGCGATGACTCAACGAAACAACACTGACCGCAATATCTATTTGAATGGTAACGGTCTCGTCGGATTGCTGGAGGGTAAACGACTCGAATGTTGATGCGATGCAACCACCACGAGGCCCAAACCTAAAAACAAATGTGGTATAAAACATACCCCGTGCGAGCGTCCCCGGAACACTGGAACATTGGAGTTAGTGGTTTGCGTTGTGTCCGCTGCGACGGTCGCACAGTGAACTGGAATCTGCACTCCATTCGCTTGGTCTGCCTGTTCGTGTGGACAATGATATTTTGGCGGTTATCAGGTTAAAATAAGAGGTGTAATCATTTTTTATAATTGCAGGAGAGAGACCACGCAGAATTAGTGGTCTCTCTTGCAAGGTGTATGGGGTTATACAACGATTGGATTTTCGTGCAATAGTATTCAGTGCTTAGCCCTGCAGGCAGTTTTAAGTGAACCTGTATAAGTGCAATGTCTTCCTAACGTCACTGCTGGTGGCAGGGCCTCCACGAGAGGGATCTCGAGACAGCCCCTCTTAGAGTGCATCAGAACCTCTATCTACATCTTACAGGAGCGCCACAGTGGTGAGATGTTAACTACCTCGCCCGGTATAAAGGAGGTCGTGGGTTCGATTCCAATCCTGACGCCTGCTGTATATTTGGAGTTTGTGTGTGTCTCTCTCGCCGTGGTTTTTTCCTTCACTTAGAAATGTGTGTTTAGAGTGTTTGGCTGCAATGAATTTCCACGCGATGATCAGCCACTTGGTTGAGTTATCATTTGTGGTCAGGTCGCTTCTGAACAAGGTCTATACAGCTCATTGAGAGATCTGCACACGAATCCTCAATCCCGTTCCTCTCTTAAAGCCTCAGCTCTTCTCCATTGCCCATTCTCTTCCCTCACCCCTACGGTCAGTCCCGTCCCTCCCCTATAGCCCTTTCGTGACCCCCCCCCCCCCACGTGCCCTCTGGTACGAACACTCAAATCTCGGACCTTGCACTGCCCTTGCCATCTAAACCACCCTAATTGTGTTACTGCTTTAAAACGACGTAAAGCACCTTGAGTTGAGGCGCTCCATTAATACAGGGAGGAGCAATGTTCCACACTGCCCACCAGGGATTATTTAGCTGTCTGTCTGTCGTACATAAGTAAATATATAATACACACAGCTCTTTGATTGGTGGAGACCTTACAAACAGCTCTTTGATTGGTGGAGACCTACTGCCGGGTACGGAGAGGGGAGGTGCCTAAGGGAGGAGGGTCAGGGGAGGGGCCTAAGGAAGGGGGGAGTCAGGAGATGGGCCTGAGGGGGGGGGGGGTTCAGGGGAGGGGCCTGAGGGGGGGTCAGCAGAGGGGCCTGAGGGAGGGGGGGTCAGGGGAGGGGCCTGAGGATATGGGGGGGGGTGGTCAGGGGAGGGGCCTAAAGGAAAGGGGGTCAGGGGAGGGGCCTAAGGGGGGAGGGGCCTAAGGGAGGGGGGGGGCGATAGTTCAGGGGGCTGTCTGCCTGGCTACCTAAAGTCACGTGATCTTGTATACATACAGGTAGGAACAACAGATTCCACACTGCCCACCAGGGATTATTTGTCTGTCTGTCGTGCACGCATGCGCTGTCCAACCAAGTTCCTACCTGCCCACTCCGAAGGAACGTGTTACAAGTAACGCGTCTAAACTTGGTGCTAAAAACTCGGTTTCCTACGTCGTGAGGTGGAATGGTGATGGGGATGTTGCCATTGTGCATCCCGCTGACTGTGGAACATCGCTCTGCGCCTTTGCTAACAGGACAATAATCAGAGCCGTTAGAGCTGTGTATGTCTTGTCTTGTGGGTGAATGCGTGAGTGGGTGAGTGAGTGGGTGAGTGGGTGGGTGAGTGGGTGAGTGAGTGAGTGGTGAGTGAGTGAGTGGGTGAGTGAGTGAATGAGTGCGTGAGTGAGTGGGTGAGTGAGTGGGTGAGTGAGTGAGTGAGTGGGTGAGTAGGTGGGTGAGTGGGTGGGTGAGTGGGTGGGTGAGTGGGTGGGTGAGTGGATGAGTGAGTGGGTGAGTGGGTGGGTGAGTGGGTGAGTGGGTGAGTTAGTGAGTGGGTGAGTGGATGAGTGCGTGGGTGAGTGAGTGGATGAGTGAGTGGGTGGGTGAGTGAGTGGGTGAGTGGGTGGGTGAGTGGGTGAGTGCGTCCGTCGGTGGGTGATATCAACTCTTAATACTAAATATGTAATGTAACTGTGACCATAGAACCCAAACGATGGAACAAGTAATAAACCACTGTGCCCTGTGTCTCTTCAATGGAGGAATAGCAGGACTACATGAGCTCTCTCCTGAAGCGCCTTCGTTGCTAGCAGACCTCAACATTGATATTTAGCTCCCCAAAATAATGCCATACGCAAGAATACTAAAACAGAAATAACTGCATTTCATTTTAGTTCATATTAATTTAGTGCCTTTAGCGAGGCACGTTACAAAACACAGACGGTATATAATTGGGAAGAGGAAAATGGGGAGAAGGGAGGTAGGACAGGTAATGGCCGAGACGGTATGAAGGGGGAAATGAATAAGTATAACCCGTAAAAACAAAGTTTTTCACTCTAAATCCTTTATATGCGTGGCGGCTAGAGTCCTCTCGTCCTCTGGCTTGAGATGACTGCCACCTATGGGTCAGATGATTGTCTGCAGTATTAAACAATTGGTAATTAAATATTTAATTTGTTTTCCCTAAAGTGTAAAATTTGGGAATTTTTTTTCACGAACATTAATTGTCACGCACAACGAGTCTGTGTGCAAAATGTCAGCTCGATTGGATCACGGGAAGTGGGTTAAAAAACGACCGAAAGATTTGCACGGTCGTAAGCGCGCAAGCAAGCAAGCAAGTGAACTTAATAGAAAGGATTTAAAAATTAACCCGTAAAAACAAAGTTTTTCACTATAAATCCTTTATATGCGTGGCATCGGGGCGGCTAGAGTCCTCTCGTCCTCTGGCTTGAGATGGCTGCCACCTATGGGTCAGATGATTGTCTGCCACCATTAAGCAATTGGTAATTAAATATTTAAAACAATTTCCCTAAAAAGTGTTAAATTGTGTAAACATTTTTTCACGAAAATACATTGTCACGCACAACGAGTCTGTGTGCAAAATGTCAGCTCGATTGGATCACGGGAAGTGGGTTAAAAAACGACCGAAAGATTTGCACGGTCGCAAGCAAGCAAGCACGCAAGCAAGCGAACTTAATATAAAGGATTTAAAAAGGGGAGAGAGAAAGAGATGCAGGAGCTGTTCGCACAGCAGCACGGGAGCACGGGGTGGGCGCTAACTCTGCAGAGGCGGATCACCGCCGCGCGGACACAAAACTGCCCAGCACGCCGACGAAGAGGAGACCCTCCCCCAGCGAGAGTCCGATCGCAGGCCACTCCCGTCACGGCCGTCGTGATGTTCCATAGACCCGATGGCCGCGTGGCGCAGCGAAAGAGCTGCCTGACGCAGGCATCGGAGCAACCCACCTGCCGCACGGGACGGCGGGCGGTGCCGCAAACCACCGCAGACAGACAGATCGTCGAGAGGACACCCGACAGGCACAGGGACAGGCAGGAGACTTGGGGATGGGGCGGTGAGATGTGGCATGGCGTGGAAGCCGCGCTGCATGAATGCCACCACCATCAGCCGCTGAGATGGTGCCCAGCAGGGGCAAGCAGGAGGTCCGGGAAGGAAGCGACGTGCCGGCTGGACAGGGTGGCGAGTGGTGGAATTGGCTCAGCGACCACACGCCAACAGCCGTACTGCCTCTCAGTAGGTGCGGGGCCAAGCGGCACACGTGGGAGGGGAGAGACGCCCCCAACCAAAGCAAGAGCCTCTCCAAAATAATGAAACACAAAATAGGGCCTCTCTCCTAAATAATAAAACAAATAAAACTGAAAAATAGGGAAAAAGGAGAATACGGTGGGAGATGAACGGATGGACAGGGGAGGGAGCGGATGGCTGCTCCAGGCAGCTTTCCACCCCAAATCAAAGAGCCGCTTAGTAAACACTGTTCCTGGTCTTGCCTGCTGGTGCAAAGTAATGTAAATGTTTTCCATTGCCTACACGAGACCATCCAACATGACAAAAGCACGGGGATGCCAAATTCAGTCTCGCCACTTTTAAAGATTGTCCTTGAGCCTTGTTAATGGACATCGCACATCTGAGCTGGACAGGGAATTGAAGCCTCTAACATTCAAAGACTGCCATTTGGGATTATAGGTATGCGAGGGAGAAAGACGTCTTCACCTTTAGAATTGCCTGTAATTATTGTAGTTTTGATAACATTTCAATGGAATTCTTTCACAATTAACCTTGTGCCATTACATAGTCTAGGTCAGGGGTCGGCAACCAAAATAACAAGAAGAGCCATTTCTTTCCAATTCGGTACAAAATTCAGTATTTCAAGAGCCGCAATGCATCCGAGTACATACTGTACATACGTACATATCGTCAAGAAGCAGCCCGTAAAGAGCTGCATGCGGCTCCGGAGCCGTAGGTTGCCGACCCCTGGTCTAGGTGGTTCCCAGTTTCTCAATAGCAACACAGGTGCCCCAATTTTTAGTAGCAAGTTGTGTGGTGGAACATCCTTCTACGTGACTTTACCTCGTGTAGCCACAGCGGCAGCCTGCTCCTAACAGCACTTGCCCTGACAGACTGCTGAGGCTACACGGGGGGGTGTTTGCCTTTGTAAACATCGCCGTACGGGTGTGGTGTTTGACTGAAATTGCGTGTAGCTGTCAATCAAAACTGTCCAATACATTCTACCGACAACTCTTCACCTTGAGACCTTCATATGGGTGTGAGCGGTGAGTGGTGGCGCAGTGGTTAGCGCACTGTGTGTGTGAGTGGTGGCGCAGTGGTTAGCGCACTGTGTGTGTGTGAGTGGTGGCGCAGTGGTTAGCGCACCGTGTGTGTGTGGGGGGGGTGGTGGTGCAGTGGTTAGCGCACTGTGTGTATGTGGGGGGAGTGGTGGCGCAGTGGTTAGCCCACTGTGTGTGTGTGTGTGAGGTGAGTGGTGGCGCAGTGGTTAGCGCACTGATGCACAAATGGAAAATTCAAAAGTCTCCAGTCGTGTTGTGCGACTGTGTTCATCCAGAACGGACCGCACAATGTATAAACTACGCGATGCCCGCTCAAAAAATACGAAGGACACATCACGGCAATGATGATGATACAACGACTCCGCTTGCTCCTGACGCTGTTATCCGACTTGACCACCTGAATGGGACATTGCAGTTGTTGACTGCATCTACATCAGCCGAACGGACAAAGAAGGGGGACCGCACAGACTGTAACAACTACAGGGGCATCTCACTCCTCAGTGTGAGGCCGCGAAAGGTCTTGGCAAGGATTATTCAACATCTAGTAGTAGGTTTTTACCCTTTTAAACTGGTACAAAACTGACACCTTTATTCAAGGCATCATGTTTGCAATAACCACAACACAAGTAGTCAAAAAAGCAAACAAAAAGAAGCAACTCTGATAATGATAATAATATGCACTGTCCTTGAAGTTGATTGGTCCACACCCGAGACGGCTTTCTTTAGAGCCTAGTCCCCATTGGTGTTGGACCAGATGACACCAGAAGGCGTACAACTCAAACAGTGCAATATCAGAGTATTGAGAGCTCGGGGTAAGCATTTACACTATGAGATCTCTTTTACCAGTAGCAAAATATAGTAGTAGGTTTTTACCCTTTTAAACTGGTACAAAACTGACAACATCGCCTTGCTAGGCACGCTGAGGAAAGGCTTGCGGAGCCCCAATGCGGTTTCAGGAAAGGGTGGTCCTGCACAGACGCCATATTTTCTGTCCGTCTGCTACAGCAGAGGTGTAGGGAATTCCAACAAGACCTACATCTCTGCTTTATTGACCTGGCCAAGGCCTATGATACCATCAGTAGGCCTGGGCTCTGGGTTGTTCTTCGTGCTTTCGGAGTCCCTGACCCGTTGCTCACGATCATTAAGAAACCAAGGTGGCGATCGCACCTCACCACATATGCATGTATGTTGTATGTATGTTGTATGTATGTTGTATCTATGTTGTGTGTATGTTGTGTAGTGTAGTATATAGTGCAGTATATAGTGTAGTGTATAGTGTAGTGTATCAAGTTCAAGTACATATATTAGGTAAAGCCCTGTGAGCCATTCGTCTCTTAAATCGGGTGAAACGGCAACAAACAAAAACCAAAAACATGAACAAGAAAACATCTTAAAGTGAATA